ACCACACATCACAATCGGTCTCCAAAGGCACACAAAGGTGCTACAATTTAACTGTAACGGACTCCAGAGCAAGACCGAGGAGATAACTGTCTTTATGGGAAGGCATGGAATATTAATAGCTGCGGTCCAATAGACGAAGTTCATTCAATTCATGCTCATGAAAGGTATAAAAATATAAACAATATAATTGTTTATAAGTTGTTCGTTGTTAAAATTTCTTAAGTCGTACCACTTGATTTCCTTATCAAAGAGTGCTTTTGTCACATACTTTCATATATATAAAAGCACATAACACTACCTAAAAGGTACATTCCCACGACAGCCGGTTCTACGTACCGGAATGACTCGGGTTTTACCCGACCAAGGGCTGTTGTTTCGGCGATCTAACCCCGTTTAAGGCGGCGAAGTATCTCAGAAGTTGTTCGTCCATAGGGCTACATTCGCTACGTTTTCTCCTACTCAGGGCTGGCATCGAGTCAAACCCAGGGCCAGAAACCTACACCTGCTGTGTATGCCGGAGACGACTACACCACAACTCCACCTCTGTCAGGTGCAATGCTTGCGAGGGGTGGTGTCACCTCAGAATCTGCTCAGGACTACGGACACATCGGCAGTGGACCACGTCATATGTGGCCCCCTGATGCTCAAACAGAGCAGCCTCCACGGCTAACCTTAGTCCACCAGAGCAGCCTCACACAGTCACCATAGCACAACAACACAATAACACCACAGACCATACCACAGCCACGACAAACCATAGAACACACACAGCTGCACCACCACCCACACGCCGCCGCCAACAACTCGTGGTTCCTCCCACAATCTGCACGGTATGTCAGACCAGGATATTCCGTAATGTGACATCAGTCAAGTGCAACACCTGCCTTGGCTGGTTCCACTTTAGGGCATGCTCAGGTCTGCGTACCACGCGAGACTGGACGAGGACCTTCGAGGGCCCGTGTTGTGCTGCTCGGTCGCAGACCCCAACTGCGACGCCTCCCGCCACCACCACAGGGCGGCAACCATCACAGCAGCGCACACAGCCAACGGCAGTAAGAACACACACATCCCTTACACCCCACATCACAACACGACTCCCGAACCACATGAAGCTCCTTCAATTTAACTGTAACGGGCTACAGAGCAAGATTGAGGAGATAACCGTCTTTATGTGTCGGCATGGTATATATACCTCAGCTATGGTCCAAGAGACGAAGTTGCACAGCAATTCAACATTGTTGAATTGTGCCGGGTATAACGTGCACCGTCGAGATCGCGAGCGAGAAAATGGTGGAGGTTTAGCGTTCATCACGCACCACACCGTGCAGTATCGTCTCATTGAAGCAGACATCGACCGCAGAGATACCATCCTTGAATGTCAGGGTATTGCTATCCGGTTAGGCGATGTCGAGCCCGAAATATTTAACGTATACATACCCCCTGTCACCTGCTGCCCGGCAGGATATCACCCTGAAATAGGTGCGCTACTCAGAGGCGAAAACCGTATGGTAGTTGGTGACTTTAACGCGCACCACGATCTCTGGCACTCCAGCCTGTCAAATGATCGTAGGGGAATACATCTGGCTGAGCAGATAGACGATTCGACATTCTGCACAATGAACGACGACGCACCCACCAGGATTATGGGCAGCTGCTGCAGCTCGCCAGATCTAACAATTGTCAGCGCTGGACTGATAAACAGCATATCATGGCGACCTATGCTGACTCTAGCATCAGACCATCTGCCCATAGTCATCTCGATTGATAAACCTGCCGACGTTGCTTCCGTGGATCACCGGACCTATATCAACTTTTCCAAAGCTGACTGGAAAGGCTTCACGGATGTTACTGAGGGCGCCTTCACTGCACTACCCATACCAACCGACGTTCATGTAGGTGAGCGTAAGTTCCGCAAGGTTGTCACCGCTGCTGCAGCTCGCTTCATTCCAGCAGGATGTATTAAGGATCCACGTCCGAATTTTCCTGCCGAAGCGGCTGTTCTAGCTGATGAGCGCGACAACCTTCGTCAGGCGCGATCCCGGAAATCCCCGTATTAGGGATCTCAATTCGGAGATTCGGCAACTTGTGAACGTACATAAGCGGAAGAAATGGGAAGAGCATCTGAAGACCTGCAACTTCGCCTCTGGTGTGAGCAAGCTTTGGTCAACCGTGAGGTCGTTGTCCAACCCGACGAAGCGCGACGACAGAGTCGATATAGACTTTGGTGACCACGCTTCGTCGGCAGTTCATTCTGCATCCTCCGGTGGATAAAGCCAAACGTCGAGTGACTAGAAGGCTGCACAAAATGCCAAAATCTAGTGCGCCTCTTGTTTTCACCAGCGGTGAGGTAAGGGTAGCCATCGGGAAGGCGAAAGCCTCCAAAGCCATTGGACCCGACGGAATATGCATGTTGATGCTGAAAAATTTGGGTCCTGCGGGAGTAGCGTACCTAACGGAGGTCCTCAACCTGTCTATGGCCACTCTCGTCATTCCAGACATCTGGAAAATGGGGAGAGTGGTCCCACTGCTCAAACCGGGGAAACCAGCCAACAAAGGAGAGTCTTATCGCCCGATAACTCTCCTTTCCGCGGTAGCGAAGACACTCGAGGCCCTGCTGCTCCCGTAATTCACGAACCACCTGACCCCAGCGAAGCATCAACATGGGTTCCGTAAAGTGCATAGTACAACAACAGCACTTAACGCCATAAACACTCAGATAACTCGTGGCCTAAACCGAAACCGCCCCTGTGAGAGAACTATTCTAGTAGCGTTGGACCTCTCCAAGGCGTTCGACACTGTCAGTCACTCAACGCTACTAGGAGATATAGAGGCCTCCTCACTCCCACAGGGACTCAAACGGTGGTCGGCGAATTACCTGAGTGGTCGACACTCGTCAGTAATCTTCAGAGACAAAACCAGCAAGCCACGTAAAATTAAACAGGGGGTACCACAGGGTGGTGTCCTGTCCCCGCTACTGTTTAATTATTACATATCAAAGCTTCCTCAGCCACCAGAGGGTGTTAATATAGTCTCATATGCTGACGATTGTTCGATCATGGCGTCTGGGAATGGAATTGATGACTTGTGCTCAAAAGTAAACGGTTACCTCTCCGAACTTTCTCGCTTCTTCACTGCAAGGAGCCTAGCCCTATGCCCTGCGAAATCCTCGGCAACCCTTTTCACCACCTGGACGAAGGAGGTCAGACTGCCACTGGGTATTCACGTCGATGACGTAACAATACCGACGGTGAATAACCCGAAAATCCTCGGAGTTACCTTCGACAGTCTGCTCTCCTTCTCGGCGCATACAACCGCAATTGTCAACAAAGTACAGAGCCGCAACAATGTCCTCAAGATCGCTGGCCGGCAGCACTTGGGGCAAAGATAAAGAAACGTTGTTGGCAACATACAGCAATCCGGCGTTGACTCGCAGCCTACGCCGGGGACTAGCAGGACGCAGTGGATGAAGCTGCAGACCTACCAGAAATACGGCATTACGAGCGGCGACAGGATGCCTCCTGATGACGCCTCTACATCACCTTCATGACGAGGCCCAGATGCTTCCGGTAAAGGAGCATAACATAATGCTCTGCAAGCAGTTCCTCGCTGGGAGCTACAGACGTGGCTATCCCAGCGGGCAACTGCTCGCTGAAGAGCCCTCGCCACGGCACGTCAGGAGGCATCTTTACGAACTGACAGACGAAGTCCAGAGGTATATTAAACAACCTCTGGACCCGACAATCTACCGACAGGCCCTCAACGGCATTCACAGGGAATCAGTCTCAAGTTATGTAGACTCCCGCCCTGTGAATGCCGTTCTAGGCACACAACCACCGGACGTGGACGGGACAGAACTTTGTCTGCCTCGGGAGACCCGCACAACAATAGCCCAACTTCGCTCTGGCTATTGCAGCAGGCTCAACAGCTACCTGAGCAGAATCAACGAGGATGTGCCCAACCAATGCCCGGCATGTGGAGAGTCGCCACATGACTCCCGGCACCTCTTCACATGCCCTGAGAATCCCACTCAGCTAACGCCCCTGTCCCTATGGACATCCCCTCTGGAAGGTGATTTAGTGAATCTTTGTCGGTGTAATTGCCCATAGAAAATAACGAAATTTAACACAAGTTTTCTGTACATAACTTTTCAATGGTTAATAATATTAGCCTTCCCCCTCCGGATTGTTAATAGTGGGACCAAAACGCGTCGTTTGGTACCCCTCCCGACTTTTCCGACCTTTTTTAGGGGTTGTTACCCTACACTAGAATATTACCGAAAATAAAAAATGTTCAATTATATTAGTTGCGTTCCAGATGCTTCACGATTTGCAGGTTTTTACAGGAAGTCGTTCCAGGTGACCACCTCCCATAAGGTTTACTAATGGAGAATTTCGTGAATATCGTGAAGCATCTGGAACGCAACTATTATTAGGCAAAGAATTGTTGAAGAAGTAACACCTTTTCACCTAAAGAGCGAAATACACCACATAAGCGGCTTGTCAAACCTACTTTTCCCATTTCGCCATACACCATGCAAACATGAGTCATTCAAGCACAGAATTTTAGTTCTCCTCCGGTTCACAATGTTAAAAATGTTGGTTTTCTTCCATTTTTCTCCCTTACGTCCTCACTTGGTGAAAATTCAGCAACAAATGAGGCGATTTTACCATCCACATCGCAAGCGGTTTGATCAAACGTCAACATGGCGGCCTGAAAATCAAAAAATTTTGATTTTTGCTCAAATTTCCCTCAAGCGGTTTGTCAAACCTTCAAACACCCCCATAGACAACACAAATGGATTGAAACAAAGGGATATTTCGCTTGGTTTGTCAAGCCGCTTGTGTTGTGTATTTCGCTCTTAAGGCAGTCTATATGGCGGAATTAGGACGAGAAGTTGCCAACCGATAACACCTTGTATTATTGCATATGGGAATTGGTCATGAACGAATTGAATTGATTCATGGGAATTGGTATCCATCGAAAAGTATCGAGTATGTACTTGTTTACTTGTATTTACTCGTATTGTTTCATCACTAATTCCTATTACCAAAAGCCCTTCGATCGAAATAATGTATATTGCGATGCTAATTATAAAATATGGTTCCATTTCTGTAAAGTGTGCAGTGTTTAAATTGTAAAAATACAAAAGTTTGTAAATAACATGCTTACTTACATGCAGACGACTTGCTGTGAGTAGCGTGGATTCATTGTGAAAAGTGTCGGAGGCAGTTGCATAAAGATATTTTGGTTGGTTGCACAAATTGGTAGCCGTGGTGTGCCGTGATCTTGTGTAGCAAGTTATTATTTTGAATCTTTTTAAAGAGCCGTTATTTAAAATTACTAATCAACTTATCGTTTTTTAAAGTACAAAACCACGTATCACGATAATGCAAAACCGCGTATTTAAGGTCACCAAGATTTTACAGGAGAGAGGAAAAATATACACCGCTAGGGTGAGGTTTATCATTCAGCCGCACCTTTTGTTTTAAGAAAACCAGGTGGAATTAACAAATGAAACTTGGCCAGGATGATTAAGGGAGGTATTCTCTAAAACATGTATAACTAAACAAGTAAAAGCCGAAGGCTTCATACCTTTCATGAACATCTGAAAATTTTACTTTAAGAGATTACTGTATTTGAAAAAATTTATATATTCACATAGAGGAGTTACATATATAAAAAATCGTATCTGATTTTCACTGCTGTGTGAGCGGTATGTAAACCGGTAACACAATGTAATGGGTTTAGCTTCCTACATTAAGGAGATATATCGCAAAAACTGGTATAGGAACAATCAGTGGTATAAGAGATAAAGCTTATACAGCATAGATTTTGACGATTTTCTTAGTAGACTTTGTATTATTATTTATACAATAGCTTACGAAATTAATCGGTTTAAGCTGTCCAAATAAATTAGTTTTAAACTATGTTCACATGTCAATAGGTGTGTACTCGTATTGAAAGGACAAAATTCTCCAGCAGCAAAAGTTCTGAGAATTTAGCAGCATTCGCTCTCAAAGAGACGAAATATCAACAGAAGTACGAGAACGCAAAATTTGCAAAAACTTGCAACCTTCGAAACAGCTGATCACTTGCACAGTTGCCACTGGTGATTAATTTGTCAATTTATTTTCTGTTTGGTACATTTTCCCCCGATTTGGCATTGTATACAATTGAATAGTTTTCGATAAGAAAAACCTTTTTAAAAAACAAATTAATTATATCGGAATGAATAAGTTATTTTTCTCATAATTATCATAATGATATCACCCGGTGACGCATTCAAAAACAAAAGTATCTCTTCCAAACACCCATCATTCATCCAAAAACAATGTAATAGATATAGCTACAGATGTAGCTTTGAAATTATAAATTTTTCATTTCAATAATCAACCTACCAAAACCGAAAACTTCAGCAAAACATTTCAGCATGGTGCATTTAAATCTATTTTGGTATATTTAAAGGAAAATTATGGTACAAACGAAAAATGTGATACGGCTACCATAGGCACCACACACTAAGTAAACAAAAGTGGAGATTAATAGCAAATTAACGAAAAATAAATAAACACAATAAACGTTGTGCATATTAAATTTACTCACTTTTCACGTTGTATACTAGCATTTATAATAAAATTTGCAATAAATAACTCAAAAATGCCATATTTTCTTTTGTTTATTTACAAACATGTGTTTTTGCTCAGCTGATTTTCTTACTTGCAAGTTTTAGTTGGGAAAAATTTTTCCAGCAGAAATTTGCAGCTCTCTTTCATATTTTGCTCTCTCAATTTCCCCTACTTTGCAAGTTTTTTGGGTACGAGAACGCAAAACCAGTAGAAGTTTTCTAAAACTTTAGATAGTTGGGCGTACGAGTACACTTCTAATATTATCTCAATCAAAGATCGTTTTTTAATCACCACGTTTACACAGGCAAATCTCAGATTATTAGCCGTCAAATTTGTTGTGCTTGTTATTCTCACCACTCAAGGAAAATTTATGTTTCTTCTCTGTGCCACCGTGATCACGTTTTTCTGCAATATTAACCAATATAAATATATTTTAACTTATTATTTTATTAAAAAATACCTTTAAACCCCTCTTTTCCTTGCTAGCGTCCATTTTTGTTTACTTTTACATTTGCCATTTCTCCTCTTCTTCGCAAAAACAATCGAGAAAACTAGGATGAACATCGAAAAGTTATCGGTTAAATCTGAAATTATTTTATAATTACAGATTAACAAGGGAGGAATTCTATATGGCTAATCTCTTCTAATTACAGATTAGGAAGTTAAGCTCGAAAATGAGGATAATCTACTTATATGTGAACCTAGTATTACATTAAAATCCCATATCTGAACACTCAGTTGTATGGGGGCAATATATAAGTTATAGTGACCCGATCTTTGTAAATTTCACTGTAAACTATCTGTTGATAATGAGTGAAAACAATGCGAAATATCATGTTTCTAGCTGCATATATGGAGAAGTTATAGCAAAGAATCTCATATCTGAACAATCAGTTGTATGGGAGCTATATGTAAAAGTGCCCCGATCTTTGTTATTTTCACTGTAAGAATTCTGTTGATAATAGTTGGAAGTACTGCAAAATTTCATGTTCCTAGCTGCATAAATCGAGAAGTTATAACGAAAATTCTCATAACTGAACAATCAGTTGAATGGGAGATATATGTTATAGTGACCCGATCTTTATTATTTTCCCTGTAAATAATCTGTTAATAATAAGTTAAAATGGTGAGAATTTTAATGTATAGCTGCATAAATGGAGAAGTTATTTCAAAAAATCTCATATCTGAACCAACAGTTGTATGGAGGCTATAGGTTATAGCGACCCGATCTTCGCCATTTTTATTGAAAATATTCTTTTGATAATGAGTGACAAGTTATAACGAAAAATCTCATATCTGAACAATCAGTTGTATGGGAGCTATATGTTATAGTGGTCTGATTCTTCCGGTTCCGACAAATGATTCATACAATATAAAAATACACCCACCTACAAAATTTCATCCGGATATCTCGAAAACTGAGAGACTAGATTGCATACAAACAGACGGACAGACAGACAGACGGACAGACAGACAGACGGACAGACGGACATGGCTAAATCGACTCAGCCCGACGTTCTAATCATTTAAGTATACCTTTTAATGGGTCTATCTTTTCTTATTCTGGTACTTAGAAACATCGGATCAAAGTTATAATACAATTTCATGCTCATGAAAGGTATAAAAATATAAACAATATAATTGTTTATAAGTTGTTCGTTGTTAAAATTTCTTAAGTCGTACCACTTGATTTCCTTATCAAAGAGTGCTTTTGTCACATACTTTCATATATATAAAAGCACATAACACTACCTAAAAGGTACATTCCCACGACAGCCGGTTCTACGTACCGGAATGACTCGGGTTTNTTAACCAATATAAATATATTTTAACTTATTATTTTATTAAAAAATACCTTTAAACCCCTCTTTTCCTTGCTAGCGTCCATTTTTGTTTACTTTTACATTTGCCATTTCTCCTCTTCTTCGCAAAAACAATCGAGAAAACTAGGATGAACATCGAAAAGTTATCGGTTAAATCTGAAATTATTTTATAATTACAGATTAACAAGGGAGGAATTCTATATGGCTAATCTCTTCTAATTACAGATTAGGAAGTTAAGCTCGAAAATGAGGATAATCTACTTATATGTGAACCTAGTATTACATTAAAATCCCATATCTGAACACTCAGTTGTATGGGGGCAATATATAAGTTATAGTGACCCGATCTTTGTAAATTTCACTGTAAACTATCTGTTGATAATGAGTGAAAACAATGCGAAATATCATGTTTCTAGCTGCATATATGGAGAAGTTATAGCAAAGAATCTCATATCTGAACAATCAGTTGTATGGGAGCTATATGTAAAAGTGCCCCGATCTTTGTTATTTTCACTGTAAGAATTCTGTTGATAATAGTTGGAAGTACTGCAAAATTTCATGTTCCTAGCTGCATAAATCGAGAAGTTATAACGAAAATTCTCATAACTGAACAATCAGTTGAATGGGAGATATATGTTATAGTGACCCGATCTTTATTATTTTCCCTGTAAATAATCTGTTAATAATAAGTTAAAATGGTGAGAATTTTAATGTATAGCTGCATAAATGGAGAAGTTATTTCAAAAAATCTCATATCTGAACCAACAGTTGTATGGAGGCTATAGGTTATAGCGACCCGATCTTCGCCATTTTTATTGAAAATATTCTTTTGATAATGAGTGACAAGTTATAACGAAAAATCTCATATCTGAACAATCAGTTGTATGGGAGCTATATGTTATAGTGGTCCGATTCTTCCGGTTCCGACAAATGATTAATACAATATAAAAATACACCCACCTACAAAATTTCATCCGGATATCTCGAAAACTGAGAGACTAGATTGCATACAAACAGACGGACAGACAGACAGACGGACAGACAGACAGACGGACAGACGGACATGGCTAAATCGACTCAGCCCGACGTTCTAATCATTTAAGTATACCTTTTAATGGGTCTATCTTTTCTTATTCTGGTACTTAGAAACATCGGATCAAAGTTATAATACAATTTCATGCTCATGAAAGGTATAAAAATATAAACAATATAATTGTTTATAAGTTGTTCGTTGTTAAAATTTCTTAAGTCGTACCACTTGATTTCCTTATCAAAGAGTGCTTTTGTCACATACTTTCATATATATAAAAGCACATAACACTACCTAAAAGGTACATTCCAACGACAGCCGGTTCTACGTACCGGAATGACTCGGGTTTTACCCGACCAAGGGCTGTTGTTTCGGCGATCTAACCCCGTTTAGGTCGGCGAAGTATCTCAGAAGTTGTTCGTCCATAGGGCTACATTCGCTACGTTTTCTCCTACTCAGGGCTGGCATCGAGTCAAACCCAGGGCCAGAAACCTACACCTGCTGTGTATGCCGGAGACGACTACACCACAACTACACCTCTGTCAGGTGCAATGCTTGCGAGGGGTGGTGTCACCTCAGAATCTGCTCAGGACTACGGACACATCGGCAGTGGACCACGTCATATGTGGCCCCCTGATGCTCAAACAGAGCAGCCTCCACGGCTAACCTTAGTCCACCAGAGCAGCCTCACACAGTCACCATAGCACAACAACACAATAACACCACAGACCATACCACAGCCACGACAAACCATAGAACACACACAGC